TTGAAAACGGGACGAAGAAGCCCATCGTTTTGAAGGCAGCCTTTGAAATCCGCCTCTATGATACAAATTAAGCCCCAGCACTTCAGCTCGAGCAGATCTAGGTTGGCTTGCATTAGGGTCTCGTCTGAAGAGATGGTTGTATCAGTCGGTGGCCCGCTTGACAAGGAGCCCTCGGGGTCCGAAGGCGCCGAAACTGACCTGCCTTGTCGCCGCGCTTGGTCTTCCTAGCGGGCTTCTTGCCTGTGCTCACGGCCTTTGGTTTCCGAGCCCTCCTGCTCGTCACCTGAGCGCCGTCGAGATTCCTGAGCAGAGATGCCGCGGGGCCCATGGCCCTCCTAGTCCTGTGAGCTCGGAGCCCCTCTTTCGGAATTGGTAACAAACCGCGAACACGGAACTGCCACAAGGATTCACATTCGAAAGACACCCGGAAGAAAAACACGTCCTCGAACCCCCGCTGCTTCAGCGCCACTGACATCGTGGAGTCCGTGAACAAGTTGCCCAGTACGTTCTGGATGCCAGCGTGGATGAGTGACCCCTCGGCGACGGCGCCAGCTGCAGCCGGGAAACACTGTAGAAACACAATCTTGTAAGGGCTCAGCAACTGGCAGCACCAAATAACTAACAAAGCAATACGGCGGTTGCCGATCACCAGACCCCGCGGCTGCCCCCAATGCGTCGAGGTTGGGCGACCCAGTCACCAGGTAGAGCGGGAGGCTTGGCACGCCGCAGTCGCTCTCCGACGCGCTCAACCCGTCGGTGTCGTGCACGAGGCGTTTGAGGTCGGTTCTCAAACGGTCGATGAGCTCTAGTTCCACCTCGCTGAAATCATCCTTGCAGGTCCCCAAGCCGAACCGAGCGCAACGTGGTCCCACCGTGGGCGGGCCCTCCCCATCAGCATAATCGTACGCACCCGTATTGGAGATCAACCCAGTCACGCGCGCACGAAACTCATTCCAATAAAATGTGATTCTGCACCTGGTGTCATTGAGGAGATCTGCTCTGATCAGATACCCTCCGCCGCCGATGCCCCAGGGAGTCTGCTCAGGGTCAAGTGGCCGAGCGGGTTGAGGCTTGGTTCGTGGTCGCACCATTACCGTTGCCAATCGAGCGTGTTCTTCAGGAGGCAGTGCGAGGAAGCCCGGGCGCAACCCTCTGATGCCAGAACGTGCCCCTGAAACATAACCATGCCACGCGCTCCGAACCTGGCGCAGCGCAGGAGGTGCTTCGACACTCGCAGGTCCAGCCCTGCCACGAGGCAGGCCCATCACGCGCGCAGCGCCGTTGTGCGGGGCACAAGGTTGTCCAGGGAACGTCGTTGGTCGACTGGGGCCGTCGCAGGCCCCTGAAGCTCGAATCACCGCCCTGGCGGGCGCAGAAATCAAGATTTTCTTCCTCCGCCCCCTGCGCCCAAGAATTGGCGTTCCGCGCTTGATCGGCCACCTCCCACCTCTCTGCAGCAACAGCCATCATGCACCAACTCTCCGACAGGACGTGCTCGGCCATCAGCGTTGCCTCGTCGGGGGAGTTGTCAGCAGAGCAGCGTGCGCGGTTCTTCATGCGCCCGAACCTGCATTCGGATCTTATGTTCTGCCCGGGCACCATGTAAAACAAATATCGCAGAAATTGGTCTTCCGCGCCAAGCTCTGCCTCAGTTCGCACCGAAATTGCGGAGCTTCGTAACCGCGTTATCGCCGCAGCAAGAGTTCGCGCGCAAAAAAATGTCGCCTGATCAAATTCTCCTCAGCATCTGATGCCGACCGATTTGAAAGGATCGCTAAAGGCCACGGCCACTGCAGATAAGGAGAGACAGTCCTCATCCACAAACCCCCCGCCATCTGATATGCACCCCGCGCAGCGGAATGGTAAGACTGCTGCGTCCACCTCCATCCAGGACCAGAAATGGGAAACCAACGCGGATCGCGATCATCTCGGAGCCGAGCAGCGTAACTCTGGATAGCGCGAGCAGCTGGTGACGTTCTCAGATGACACAGCGGGCCCACACCAGAATGCTCTGACTTGTCTCTGGCGTCTTCGAAGAACTCCCCCAACGCCTTCAATCCAGAGGGGGGGGGGGGCACCGAGCCTCGCAAGAGTATCGATGGTGCCCCCCACGCACGCGCACCGCCGCCGCCTCCCCAGCTGCGGGGTGGAAGGGGGGTCGTCATCCTCCGCTTCTTCCTCCTCCCCCTCCTCCTCCTCCTCCTCCTTTTCCTCCTCCCCCTCCTCCTCCTCCTCCTCCTCCTCCTCTGCCCTCGCCCGTGCTGTCCTGAAATTCTGTCGCGGGCCCCAGGTGTTCCCAGGACGTTGAGGGGGCGCCGGGAACCCCTCGAAGCTCATGGCACGCCCCCCCCCCCCTCCCCCCCGACCCCCCGAGGACCCCCCAGTTGGACATGGAGCAATGGACCTCCAGCGCAGGCACCATGTTGGCGGTTGCGGCAGAAAGCCTCCGCGAGATCGATGGATCGTTGAAGAATATCTCAGCCTTTTTTTGAATCGAGCATGTTGGGCTTTCTGGCAGGCGTCGTCACGTCCAATGCCGTAGATCTCTGCATCTTGAAACTCACCCTCGCCAGGCCCCCGAGGTCGGGCACTCGCGCGGAACACTTTGACCGCGGCCGCGTTGAAGGCGAACGCGAAATTCCACCAGGCCAGAGAGTGGAACAGCTCGTTCCATTTATTTAAGGCTGGCACTCGTGGGCTGTACTGCGCAAAGGCCCTCCAGACTATATCCTCAGCTTTCTCGGGTGCACTGCTCGGGCCGCCGCGCTCGCACCCTGCTGCGCAGGCGCGGCCGCTCCGCGCGGCCGCCCAAGACGAGCTGAAGAAGTCTAAGAACTCCTCCCTGGCGCGTCGCCCCTTGGCAGAGTTGTAGTTCTGAGGCTGGCCGAACCGATCCACGAGTAGGGCCTCGGACGGGTCGTCCGCGAAGTCTAGCAACGCCATGACTTGCCTATTGCACTCGCGATGCTCGGCGGCAGGAACTCCGCACTCAAATCGCAATCCTGTCGTGTTCGTGCGGTTGGGTTCCATGAATTGTTTCACGCGCTTCCGAAGTCTGCGCCGATTTCAAGCTCTGTGCATCAAGCAGGTAGCGCAGAAAATGCCATTGCTCAAGTCGTATCCGCCAAGCACCCCCATGATTGAGGCCCAAAGCATATACATGCAACAGAAACTATGCAGCGCCATATCATTGGGTCCATCCTTCTCCCGATATTTCCTGCCCAACTTCAGCATAGATTTAGCAGAATCGGTGTTGAAGATGGTCACGCGCCGACCGACGTCACCATCGGTGCGGCGGAGCAAGAACCCCAGACGATTCTCCACAGCTGCGATCAAGGTCGACGTCTTCGCGTTTGCAATTGTTGCTGGCGGGACCACGACTTCGTGCTCATGCATGTCATGGTTCGCTGCACGTTGAAGCACATGCGCGTGGACGACCAGCACGCTATGTACTTCGACCTGGCCGTCAACTTTGATGGGATGCGCAGCTTCGTCCATGCTGACTTCTACGATGCGGCACTGCCACCGCCCGAAGTCGTCCAGCCGTTCCCGTTGAAGTCCAAGGTAACGTTCAGCGATCGCTGAACGGACCTTCTTGATATGCGAGTGCGAATCCCGCATGGCCATGCCGACGCTGCGCATGCTGTTTGCGAGCACCGATGCCCGCGGCCGACTCGCACGTGGTGCTCTACGCTTCCGTCTGCGCAGCTGCGCCACGTGTCCGGCCAAGCCCCACGCTCCGCGCAGAAGGGCGCACGTCAACCACTGGCAGGCAGCTCCCCTCCCCTGCCCTCGTAGGTCTGCAGCCTTGACCCCATTCATCCTGGCAGAATCGATGATGTCAGCGGGCCTCACAGCATGCATGGCGTTGACATTGTCAATGCGCTCCTGCATGGCACCAGAAACACATTTCGTGTGCTGCTCTCGCAGGACCTTCTTGCTCAAACGCATGGCCCTGGCATGGCATTATGCAGCCCACGTGTTCGCGACGAGCGGACCTCGTCGCGGGCGCAGTGCGGCGCCTACTGCGCCCAGGATCGCATCTGCCTCGTCCTCGTGGGCGGCCCCACGCGGATCCTCTGCAGCCGTCAAATAATCCACAAGATCACGGACAGCCGCTTCCATGGATCAAAAAAAACGCAACCAAAATAAACCCAAGAGCCACGATGATTACGGAGGAGGGAGGGGAAGGGGAGGAGGCGGAGGACGGGCCGCGACGTGTTGGGTCATTCCACGTATGTTTTCCGAGCCGAGGCGTAAACAGGGAAGGTATTTTTCATCCCCGTTGGTCTTCGTTCTTCTTCCCATCTTCTCCATCCTCCTCATTTCACCGTTTCTTGCAGCCTCCCGTGTTCGTAGTTCAAATTCTTCCACCCTGACCCCAGGAGTTATTTTGCAAATTACTGATGATATTGTAAATGCATTGCCATTGCTGTATTGCTATATGTTGTATGTTTAGGCCATTTGAATTGCCAGAACAATTGCGTGCGCTTGCGTTGCACAGTGGTAGAAATGCACGATGTAATGCGTGCATTATTGGGGTTTGCAGTAAATGCCATGTGTAATGCGCGATGTAATGCGTGCACTATTGGGGCTTGCGGTTAAATGCCACACGTAATGCGCAGTGTACTGCGTGCACTATTGGGTGCGATTTGAAATGCACGCGCATATGCTGAACTTAATGCACGAGGCTATGCGTGGACATCCGCCTAACCCTAAGAGGGGCAGGTTTGATGTGTTCCAGAACCAGCTAATCTATATATATATATACATATATATATATATATGTATGTATGTATATATACACATATATATATATATATGTGTATATATATATATATATGTATGTATGTATATATATATAATATATATATATATATATATATATATCGGAGGTTTGCGAGTGGGCACTTCGCGAGTAGTGCAGTGCGCTCGGCGACTCCTCCCTCCTCCGCCGCCGCCGCCGCCGCTGCCTCGACGGGCCCTCCACCGCTGCCCCCGCCTTATGCCGGACGTCCGCCTGGCACCGCTCGGACGCCTCCAGCTGGCGCGCCACGCTGTCCCGCAGCTCGCGCCGGAGGTCGTCGACGAGGCCCGCCTCCTGGACCTGCGGGGGCCGCGCCGGCGGGGGGGGGGGGCGGCGGCGCACGCCGCCCGAGCCACGATGGGAAACGGGTCTTGCGCGAGATGGCACGGCGACCTCGCGCGGCGGCTCACCCGCACCGCCAGCGCGGCGCGCTGCACTGGAAACGAGGGCGCTTCCGTTGGGCCTTGCGCGGGCAGCTGTTGCGCGCGCGGATGTCGGCGAAGACGACCCCGTTTTTTTTTCTTGTTGCGTCGCCCACCTGTAGGGGGCCACGTGCGAACCCTGCCCCTGACCCTATCGCTCGGGAGCTCCCGCACGGAGTGAACCTCCGCCCTTTCCCCCAGAAATCGCGGGGGGGCAGGGGCAGGGCTCGCGTGTGGCCCCCTCACCTGGCCGTGCCCCGACGCCCCAGCCTTGCACCTCTCTTCGCGCCGGGCGTGGTCGCCCGGGCTCGGGCCCCAGGGCCCCCCCAGACCGACCCGGCTCGACGGGTGCATCGGGAAGCAGGCAGAGAAGCACGAAGGAGGGAGGCGTTGGGAGCAGATTGGGCTTCCGCGCTCCCCGCGTAGAGGAGGGAAGAGTAGGGAATCGAACTCTACACACCGACGCTTCTTCCGGCCCTGCATCAGAACTTGCACTGGAGAGCGGATCCTGGTGTATACGGGACCCTGATGTATACATTTTTCGCTGTTTCCCCGGGACATCGGGGAAAAAAGTATACACCACACCACCCCAGCGTCGTCCTCGACCCTCAAGAAATCCTGGAATTGAAAAACAGACCGCCACTGGAAATGTATACGTTCCAGTTTTCGAAAGAGGGAAACCCTTCGACTCTTGGATGAGGAAGATGTCTAAAGTATATTGGGATCTGCGGGTCTTAAGATACCTACTTTCAACGACCGATGGGTCGTGTGTCCTCGCGATGTTGAAATCTGTTAGTGGCGTCGGATCTCAGGGTCCCTGGCTGGGGCCAGCCCTGAGCTCCTGGCGTATAGTACAGCGGGTGCCTATGGTAAGAAATCATGTCGTAGGACATCTGGGGGCACACTTATACTTTGCGGTCGACTTCGGACTTCGCGGAGAGCCCCTATCAACTCCGATTGGCCCCCCCGGGCCGTCTGCGAACATTGAATTTCCGCTGGGGACTTGCTGGCAGGTTAGCTTCTTGTCTGGTGCGCTCATGCCCACACTCACGGCAAGATCAATCGGCATCTGATCGGGAAACCGGATCGGGTCGGAACGCGCGTCGGATCGGGAGATGCGTCGGCACGGGGTCGAGATCGAGTGGGATTGGCCGCGCCAAGACGCCGCAGAAATACGCCCTGCAAACAACGGGTCGCATCGGATCGTCGGAAAATCGAGTCGGATCGGATCGAGCCTGGCGAACTCGAAATCGGATGGCCATGGCCTTGACTAAGCCAGCCTGCATACAGCATCCTGCGGCCCAAGATGACTCTGGTCAGGGATGGTGGTAGTGCACAACTGGCGCCTGTGGAGCCCAGAGGGAAAGACAGCGACACAGCCGTCGGCGTCACCGTCGCCGTCGTCGCCTTCGTCGGCGTCGGCATCGGTGTTGCCGGCCTCGCCCTCGCCGCCTCGTCTTCCTCGGAGGCATCGGCGCCGGCGGCGCCGACGCCGCCGTCGAGCGTCGCCGAGGAGGCGAAGAGGGCACCCCCATGCCCGGAGGCGCGCGGGGGGCCCCGCGGGCGGCTCTGGCGCCCGAGACCTGGTGGATCTTCTCCATGGTCGAGCTGCGGAGATCGGTGAGCGAGCCCGTGGTCCAGTCCCGTATCTCCTGGCACTCGGACTGGAAGAGCCTGAGCAGCTCCTGGGCCTGGGCCTTGCAGCCGTCCAGCTCCCTCGCGAGGGGGCGAGGAGCAGATGCTCTCCGACAGGGACGGATACGACGGCTACCGCGACGGCGCTGACGACCACGACGACAACGACATCGAAGGCGACGCCGGCGGCGACGGCAACGGCGACGGCCGCCTGACGGCTTCCAAGCCTCCATCAGCGAGCCCACCTTGGGTCACGGTATCAGCTCGAGGGTTGCCAAAGGCATACCTGGACGGTGCCCCCAGCCTTCGCACCGTCTCGGAGCCGCAGGGGACCTAATTATGCGCTTCACGAAGGGTGGTCGCCCCAAATCCATTTCCAATAGACCCGCGGCCCGAACACGCCTCCCAGGAGCCGAAATGAAGAAGAAACGCCAGAATCTAAAAATTGCCCCGTCGAGCGATTGGGAATATGTATCTTCTGTCCATCCCACCGCTTGCGTTGACCAGCGCCTGACCGTCTTGCACCACCTGGCGCCCACGGACTAAAAAACGTTTGGGAATATGCTCGGGAGGGGAGGAGGAGAGGGAGAAGGAGGAGGCCGAAGTCGTGCGAGAAGGAGAAGGGAGGTGGAGGAGCAGGAGCGGGCCGACGACGACAAGGCCGACGAGGCCGACGAAGACGGCGAAGACGACGAGGCCGACGGGGACGACGAGGCCGACGACGACGACCAGCCTCAGGCAGTCGTCGTACTTGCTCATGCTTCTATTCGCTTCCTGGAGCACGGACCGGACCTGCTGCGCCTCCACCTGCAGCACGTCGCTCGACCTCCGGAGCTCCGCCAAATCCTTCTCGTCCGCCTTGAGGAGCAGGCTATCCTCGGTGGCGCGCGCAATCGAGCTTGTGATCGGAGGGGTTACACTCAACACGTATAATTTGAGGGAGTTCGTCTTGAGAGCTCCCGTCATCCTAACCCCCTGCGCGCGAGAGACTGGGCCCGCCAACCGCCCCCCCGTTTCGGGGAAATCCGGGAAACCTGGCGACGAATTCCAAACCGGCGTCCTCGCGTGGGACATCCTCGGCACCCCGAACCTCCCCAAGGAGGCCCTCAGAGGCCTCCGTGTTACGGTAGAGGGACACAATGTGTGGACACTGCCCCTCTTCCCCAAACTGAAAGTGGGCACGCGCGGAAGGGACTGCGGTCGAAGTGCAACTCATCAGACCCACCGCCAATTTTGAACATTGGGCGGAGGGGGAGGCGTTGACCGATGAATGTGGCATGGCTATCTTTGTCCGAGGCTTGTACGTTTCCGGGAAATCCAAGAAGTCCGGCGACGAATTCCAAACCACCGCCCTCGCTTGGGACATCCTCAGACAACAGGCCCCCGAGCCTCCCCGACGCGCGCCAGGGCGCACCGGGCGTGTCCCAGTTCGGGGCTCTCGCGGCGCGCGAGAAGTCGAACCCCAGCGCGCGAGAAAGTCGGGCCCCACGGGGCCCCCAGGGACCATTGCCGGGGATCTACCGAAGCGCGCCGGGGCGCGCCAGGGCGCACTGGGCGTGTCCCAGTCCGAGCCTCAGCCTCAGAAAAACGACCCCCGGCGCACGAGAAAGTCAGGCCCAACCGCGTCCCCAGGGACCATTTCCGGGATCTGCCGGCGCGCGCCCAGGCGCACCTGGGCGCACTGGGCGTGTCCTCGATCGAGACATCCTCGCACAAGTCGACCCTAGCGTGTCCCAATCTGGGCCTCCCGCTCGAGACACCTTCCCAAAGTCGGCAAATCGCCCCCCGAGGGAGGCCTCCGAAGACGATGACGCGATGAGCAAGGAGGAGGAGGAGGAGGAGGAGGAGGAGGAGGAGGAGGAGGAGGAGGAGGAGGAGGAGGAGGAGGAGGAGGAGGAGGAGGAGGAGGAGGAGGAGGAGGAGGGAGGAGGAGGACAGCACCGGCACGAGGGCAACGCTAGCACGAGGAGGCCGAGGAGGCGCGCCGAGGAGGAGAGGCGAGGCCCAGGAGGAGGAACGCCGAGGAGGAGCGCCCAGGAGGAGCGGCGAGAGCGGGTGGCGGAGGCGGCGGCCGGGAGCGGCGGCGGGGTGGCGCCGGCGGCGGCGGCGGGCCCCAGCCCCGGGGCGGAAGGACTGAGGGCCCGGCCCGCGGCGGCAGGCGCGGCGCGCTCGCTCCAGGGCCCTCCTCGGGCCCGAGGGCCCCGGGGCACGAGGGAGGAGGAGGAGGAGGAGAAGGAGGGGGAGGAGAGAAAGGAGGGGGAGGAGGAGGGGGAGGAGAAGGAGGAGGGGGAGGAGGAGGAGGGGGAGGAGGAGGGGGAGGAGGCGGAGGAGGAGGCGGAGGAGGAGGAGGAGGAGGAGGAGGAGGGGCAGGAGGAGGAGGAGGAAGACCAGCGTATCTGATTGTTTTCGATTATTCATGCTTTCTGTATCAACGGAAGCGCATCCTGCGCTTCCTTGATCATCATATCAAGGGTGATTGGGGGGCAAAACACGGCCTGCTTTTCGTGCCTCCTTTGGGGTGGCGGCAGGTCTTCAAGCAGTTCAGGGCTTGTTTTGTTATTATTGCTGGTGGGGCACCCAAGGCATTCGCTCTTAAAGGCTTTGGGGTAATATTCACTTGAAATGCCGCAGGACAGGCATGCCAAAACACAACTATCATTCTCAAGGCGATCGAAAACGTGAATGTCGTGGCCGCTCCTCTGAAGAGAAAGGGCCGACAGACTAGCACAGTGCCCAGGACAGGCCTGGTTATCTTTTTGGACTCGGGCGGCCTCGGATCGCGCTCTGACTCTGCAGAGTTCGCGCATCCAGAGGCGATCAGACGATAAGACCCACTGGTGGGCGCCGCCTTCTTTCTGGTCGCCCTCAACGGGGTCGCCAGCGTCGGCCCCAGGGGCCCCAGGAGGGTCGGAGGTCGGAGGCAGGAGGGGGGCGAGGACGGCGGCACCTACCAGGGGCTTTCGCTCGGGTTTAAGGGCGGGCCCTTCGCAGTCCTTGCTGCCAGGTTTCGGGGCGAGCGCAGGCCAGGTCGACAGGCCCCCCGCGAGAAACCGCAAACAAAAAAAACGCAACAAGAAACCATGGCTCTAGTAGATCTCTTGGACCTCGGCGTTCGAAGGCCCCCCCGCTTTGCTGGCAGGAGCTTTCGCTAATCTGTTCGCATCAATGTGCAATGACATTTCCCGTGGCCGGGTACTTTTCCCTGGGCCCTTGAGGGGGGGCGTCTAAATCCTGGCGGGCTTTCGCTTTGCTGGTCTGAGGAAGGGCCCCCCGCTATGTAGACCCTTTGCAAGCAGCTCCAACCCCGCGTGGATGTTCTTCCGATCGAGATCCGCCTGGCCATATTTGGCCATGGCCCCTGAGTGATCGGAGCGGATGCAGGTGAGACGCGGGCGCGCGCGAGCAACGGCCATGGCTGGCGCTCTGCAGGTGGCGAGGCGGGCGGCAGCAACTCTCCCGTCTGCCCCGAGAGGTGCGCTTTACTTCTCCCTGCCGTCGAGCACAGCAACGGCCCGCCCAGTCTGGCGCCAGATTGGGGGGCCCTGTTTAAAGCAACTTCCGTCAACCAAACCTCCCCCGGCCATCGCCGCGTCAATCGCGTCTCAGCTTCAGTGGCCAAAATCTCAAGAAATTCCGAATCATTCGGGGCGCGCGACGCAGGCTGGGGGCTGAGACTGAAATCCGTGGGCGAGGGGAGCTGCTGAGGGGTGCCCTTCCATATACGATTCACCCAGGGGGGTAAATTAGCATCTCAACTGTCAGGTTAGGATGAGGGGGCACTCGAACCTGCGCGCCGCGCCATCTCTCTCGCGCCCACACGGGCACGTCGCGTCGACGTCGTAACCTGCGGCCGCGAGCCCAGTTCTCGTCCACAAGCACTGGGCGAGGCAAGACATCAAGCTGCTCTTCTCGGAAGGGGTGGGGCTGGGATCGGCCAGGACTCGTTTGGCAGCTGCGACGTCTAACCTGCCCCGGCGAATGGCCATCTTGGAAGCCGCGCGTTTCTCGAGGTTTGCCCTCCAGGCCTCGTCGAGATGGCACTTGAGAAGCGCCGGCGAGACTGCGGTGAGCTGGAGCGTCAGGCCCTAGGAAGTCTCGATCTCAAATGGGTTCTTGAGGATCCAATTCATTCTCTCGAGGCTCAATTGCGTGGCCCCTATGGATCCTCTGCACGTCGCCAATTGATTGGGGGTTCTTCATGATGGTAAGAACTTCGTGACGAAACTCTCCATGCGTTATCACCAAGCTGCGGCTGCGTCGACAGTCTCCAAACCGTTGGCCCATAATCTTTCACGGGGCCCAGAGCGGCTTTCCAAGCCGGGTCTCCCAATATGCGCAGGCTGAGGGATCTGGAACGCTTTGGCTTCTTAGGCCCACGGTATTTAAGTGCGCGCTTTGGATTTGCCTGACCTCGTTATTAGTGAGCCCCGCGACCTCTGTTCCAAAATGGTTGGCTTGGCCCAGGCCTGTTCTGCGCAACTTGCGCGCGTCTGCGCCCGCCCTCTTCGGCGCCGCCAACTTGCGCTTGCGGAGGCGGGGCTCGGCAAAGCGAGCGCGGAGGGCAGCCCTTCCTCTGCCAGAGCGGGCCCCCCCTCCTGCCGTGTAATCGATGCCTAGGTTAGCTGCCGACTCCATCCTCTCTTCCGCCTGGGGCCCAGCCAAGGGCCCTGGGGCTCGAACCGGGGGTTTCCGAACGGTTGTCGACGACGCGAGGGCCGCCGATTTGTGCGAGGCGACCCCGCCCCCCATCTCGATCTCAGCCATATCTTTCGTGCTGTGGGCGGCGGAGGAGAGGTTTGTGACCCGTTTCTGGGGGGTATTACCTTGGCCCTGGAGGAGGAGGTCGTCTACGAACATGCGGGGGTCTGCATCCGGATTGTCCTGGAGCCAGACGTCGAGCGGGGCCAGGCTAAACATCTGGGCGACGAGCGCAGCGAAACTGCATCCCGCGGGCATTCCATGCCGCGGGCTTCCAACAAAAGTGGCTAGACCTTGACTCGCTACAAGCCTTGGGCCTCCATGCTGATTATAAATCAAGGCGGCAGTGGCCCGGATCGGTCCCAGAGGATAACAGCAGCATGCCTGATGGCCATTTCGTAGTGGGCTGATTCGGCCTGGAACTTATCATCGAATTAAAGATGTGCTTAACATATGTTAAACATGTTCTAAAACATCAATCATGTTTGAAACACATTTTGAATGTGTTTGACACATGTTTTAGACATCTGGAAACTATCCGGCAACATGCTTCCTCTCCATTGATCGTCCTACACAAATGTCACCTCTCTTGGCCTGTGGCCGGCCCGAGACCACCCCCCGCATGACCACCCCCCGCATGACGGTGCCGAGCAGACCATGTCACCTTTCTTGGCCTGTGACTGGCTCCCGGCCGTTCCTCGAGCTCGCCCCCCCCCCCCCCGATCGCGGCGGCCGGCCCCCGGCGGGCGGCCGGCGCGTCGCGCGCCGCGGTGCCGGCGCGCACGGCCGGGCACGGGCGAGGAGGCGGAGGCTGTGGCGGCGGCCCCTCTGGGCAGCGAAGAAAGGAATCCAGGGCTGAACCTAAACGGTGTCTTTCGTTTTCGCTGTGCTTTCGTGTTCCCTCGCTTCTGCCTCGAATCCACCGCTTGCCCAAAGACGACGTCGAAACGCAAACGGCCCACGAAATCACCGAAAAAGCCGTTTGGTTCCAGCCCCGAGGGAGCCGTGGCGCGGGAAGCTGGCCGAGACGGCCAGGCCCGAAGAGGGGGCCGCCCTTCCGCCCCGGCCTCGGGCCTCGGGGCCTCGGGGCGGCCCTGCGCCAAAACGGGCTGCGGGGGAGGAGGAGGAGGAGGAGGAGGAAAAGGAGGAGGAAGAAAAAGAAGAGGAGGAGGAAGGAGGAGGAGGAAGGAGGAGGAGGAGGAGGAGGAGGGGGAGCGACCGTACCAAGAAGGAACGAGACGAAGGCAGGCGGGCAAGACGCGAGAAGAGGGCAAGTGTCCGCGTGTCCGCTTGTCTCGTCTATGGCCGCATCGCATGCAGTGCAGCAGCTAGGCACTCAGAGCCTGTAGTGTAAAGAAGCGCGGCGCGGGGCGCGGCGTGCGTAATGATACGCAGTTTGTTGTAGAAGTGAAATGAAAGTGCTGTCCTGCGAACAGCTTCTGAAATTGTGTGCTCTGGGTTTGCGTGTTGCTCTGACGTCCCTAGGCCAATTCGCACGAGGGGGTCCGAGGAGAGAAAAGAACGAGGTAACGCGAGGAAGTGAAGAAGGCGAGGACAGGTGAGGTAGTGGCCGAGACGGTCAGGGCAAGCTTCGCACCCGAGCAGACACGTGCGGCGCGGTCCACATGGGAATCGGTGACTGGTCCACCATGCTCCCGCTAGCGTTTTAAAGACAGCCCAGCGGATGGTTGGAGCTTTCTTTGAAAGGTATTATGATAGCTCCTTCCAGCGGGTTGGTAGGGCTGGGGGGAGCACGATTTCTGGAAGAGCCGACGAGAGGCGGCGCGCTAGGGTCTCTGCGAACTTGTCGGGGTAGAGGGAGGCGTGGAGGACCGAGGCAAGAGTTCGCTGGACCCTAGAGCGGCGCGCTTCGTTGGTGGCAGCAGCGTGCTCGTCTGCAGCGGCTTGTTGCGCCGAGCGCCAGATGGGCAGTGAAACGTCGTATGGCGGCTGACCGTCGGCGAGGTCTCGCCAGTATTCCACGATACCTGGACTTTTCCAAAGGAGGAGGAGGAGGAGGAGGAGGAGGAGGAGGAGGAGGAGGAGGAAGACGGGGGGAGGGGGGGGGGAGGGGGCTCGACCTCCCGTTTGCTCTTCGGTGCGCGCTTTCACACGTTCGAGCGTGCACGTCGCGGCGGCCGCGCGGGGCGCGCGGTCGGCGCGGGGCTACGCGGCGACAGACCGCGAGTGGCCCGCAGCGTCAGGGGGGGGAGGGGGAGGAGGAGAGTTGGAAAAGGTGGAGGGGATGCGGAGGAGGAACGGCCACCAGGGACCCCAGGAGATTTTCCTGGGAGGATGTGGGAGTGAAGGTGGAGGCTGCCAGCATGGGAGCGGGAGGGTCTCGATGCCACCGCCTCCCGCTCATTCTCCTCTCGCCGACAAGCACACGCCCAGTCTTCTATTTACAGAAACTCCCGACCAACCGCAGAGCGGCTGGCTAGTAAGGACGCGCGATAAGGGTGCTGGGGCCTTGGGAAACCATGTCGACACTTTGCGAGCGGGGCGCGGCCACCGAAAGCGGTCGAGGATGGGCCGAAGGGGGAGGATGCAAGGGCATTCTTGGAAAGTTGCTCATTCTTACTCTGCGGATTGACTGTACGCGAGAGAGCACGAGACCCGTCTGACGTGTCCGATCCGCGGCTTGGAGCCCTGCAGCGCGCAACACCGCTCAACGCCGCTCAGCGAAAGGCGCGGTGTTGCGCGGCTGTGTCGCCCTGGCGAACTGTGAACTATGATTTCGAAAAAGATCCTATGGATCCGACGCGTGCGTCATGCTTCCGAAGGCACACTGCTCCAGGAATGCAGAGGATATGGGACGGGGAGACACGGGGCAAGGTACCCCTGATCTGGAAGGCTCGGCCTGCTGATCAAACTCGTGTGTAGCCCAGACTTCCGACATCTTGAACCAAACACGACGGACTGCGGTTCGCCATCAATGGCCTCTTCAGGAAGCCGGTTCCAGGCCCCAGGGCCGTCAGAAACGACTTGGGATCGAAAGTGGGTCCTGGGGAAAAGGTCCAGACTTCCGGAGCTGCGCAAAATCACTGCGTCGAGGGTCTGGGAAGAGAGCGGGACGATGCGGGTAGCCGCGTGAGAAGAGGTTCAGGCATCGAAGATCTGTGTGCTTGAAAACGTTGACCCTTCCCCAGACATCCGACAACGTGATTTGTTCAATGCGCGGCCCCAAGGCCCCGACTCACCTCCCAGGACAGATTACACAAATCATGTTATCGGAGGTTTGGGTCTGGGGCATCTGCGGAGGCATCGGGGACACCTCCAGAGGCCTCCGGGGACTCCCGAAGACAGTCCTCTGGAGACTTCTTCCAGCAGGATGAGACGGCCACGCCCCTCGCACTGTCCCATTTCCTGCGCGCCGCGGATATCCCGCAGGGCCCTCTGGAGATTCCCGAGGTCGGCCTTGACCCCCATGACCTCGTCGTGGGCCATGACGAACCTGACCAGGAGGGCACCATGTGTACAGTCGAGGCGTTGACCTAAGGAACCCTAAAAAAGGAACGAGGCCCCTTTTTTCCATAAGTCAAACTTCGACTTTCCATCGAAAACTGAAGGAAAACCTTCGGCAAGGTGTGGAACGATGAAGGAACACCGAGCCCCTCCCCAACGCAAAGGGTTCCTTCCTCAGCGCCCCGACTGCACGGTGACAGGGATCCTGGCCAGGCCCCACCCAGGCCGAGGATGGGTGCATGTGCCCTCCTGGCCGGGACGGTGCGTGCACCAGTCTGGGCTCAGGATCGGCCTGGCCACGGTCGGTGTTAGGCTCAGAGGGGCGCAACAAACGACACACACAGACACAGACAGATCGGGGATGGACAGACCCCCCTTTAGTAAAACGTGGTTTAGTGAAAACGACCTGAGGCCCAAACCTGGCGGTCGCAAGCCTGGAAAATAGCGGCCACGGCGCCCTCTCGAAAACCGAAAACGGACAATTCACTAATCGACGTGTCACTGTTGGGGGTTCTGTCCACCCCCGAACAGACTTGAGAGGTCCACGAGGATTTCACGGGTCGTCGCTGGTACTCCCCTTCCGCCCCCACACGCCTCTCTGGCGCGATGGTGCAGGAGGGGGAAAGCCCAACGAAGACCGAAGGAATACGCTGGATCTCCGATCGTGCACGTAGTGATGCCTGCGTTGGTTTTCCGCGGAAGGCCCGATCATGTCCGTGGGGCCAGCATTCCATTCCAAGTCGTTTTGTTTTTTCGGTGCCAAGCCACGAAAGCAGCCCCTCGTGGCCGAAATCTGTAAAATTATTTCCGCCATGAAAAGAAACACAGCACACAACACACACACACACACACACACTTGATTGTGTCCCCGCTTGTTGATCCAACGGAAAGAGTGCTATGGCGGTGCACGCCTACATTGATTACCGCCGAGCGTCTGCCGGTGGGCGGCCAGGACGTCAGAGCGTAACTGACGTGTACAGGAAAAAGGGACCCAAAGCCAATGCACGTGGAAGATGCCGAGGCCATGCAGAGCAGCGGCATAAACTACATGAGAAGTGCAAGAGGAGGTCCGGAAGGCACCATGGAACGGAGCGCGAGACAGCGAAAGGGGGGTGTAGAAGACAGTACTGCTGCGGCGTGTGTGTGTGTGTGTGTGTGTCTGTGTCTGTGTCTGTGTGAATGTGAGTGCGTGTGTGTGTGTGTGGATGTGTGTGTGTGTGTGTCTGTGTCTGTGTCTGTGTGAATGTGAGTGCGTGTGTGTGTGGATGTGTGTGTGTGTCTGTGTCTGTGTGAATGAGAGTGCGTGTGTGTGTGTGGATGTGTGTATATGTGTGTCTGTGTCTGTGTCTGTGTCTGTGTGAATGTGAGTGTGTGTGTGGATGTGTGTGTGTGTGTCTGTGTCCGTGTCTGTGGGAATGTGAGTGCGTGAATGTGTGTGTGGATGTATGTGTGTGTCTGTGTCTGTGTCTGTGTGAATGTGAGTGCGTGTGTGTAAGTGTGGATGTGTGTGTGTGTGTCTGTGTCTGTGTCTGTGTGAATGTGAGTGTGTGTGTGGATGTGTGTGTGTGTGTCTGTGTCTGTGTGAATGCGAGTGCGTGTGTGTGTGTGGATGTATGTGTGTGTGTCTGTGTCTGTGTGAATGTGAGTCTGTGTGTAAATGTGGATGTGTGTGTGTGTCTGTGTCTGTGTCTGTGAATGTGAGTGCGTGTGTGTGTGGATGTGTGTGTGTGTCTGTGTCTGTGTCGTGTGTGTGTGGATGTGTGTGTGTGTCTGTGTCTGTGTCTGTGTGAATGTGAGTGCGTGTGTGTGTGAATGTGTATGTGTGTGTGTGTCTGTGTGTATGTGTGTGTGTGTGTGTCTGTGTCTGTGTCTGTGTGAATGTGAGTGTGTGTGTGTGTGTGGATGTGTGTGTGTGTGTGTCTGTGTCTGTGTGAATGTGAGTGTGTGTGTGTGGATGTGTGTGTGTGTCTGTGTCTGTGTGAATGAGAGTGCGTGTGTGTGTGTGTGGATGTGTGTATATGTGTGTCTGTGTCTGTGTCTGTGTCTGTGTGAATGTGAGTGTGTGTGTGGATGTGTGTGTGTGTCTGTGTCTGTGTCTGTGGGAATGTGAGTGCGTGAATGTGTGTGTGGATGTATGTGTGTGTCTGTGTCTGTGTCTGTGTGAATGTGAGTGCGTGTGTGTAAGTGTGGATGTGTGTGTGTGTGTCTGTGTCTGTGTCTGTGTGAATGTGAGTGTGTGTGTGGATGTGTGTGTGTGTCTGTGTCTGTGTGAATGCGAGTGCGTGTGTGTGTGGATGTATGTGTGTGTCTGTGTCTGTGTCTGTGTGAATGTGAGTGTGTGTGTAAGTGTGGATGTATGTGTGTGTGTCTGTGTCTGTGTCTGTGTGAATGTGAGTGCGTGTGTGTAAGTGTGGATGTGTGTGTGTGTGTGTGTCTGTGTCTGTGTCTGTGTGAATGTGAGTGCGTGTGTGTGTGTGTGGATGTGTGTGTGTCTGTGTCTGTGTCTGTGTGAATGTGAGTGCGTGTGTGTGTGTGTACGTGTGTGTGTGTCTGTGTCTGTGTCTGTGTGAATGTGAGTGTGTGTGTGGATGTGTGTCTGTGTCTGTGTCTGTCTGTGTGAATGTGAGTGCGTGTGTGTGTGGTGTATGTGTGTGTGTGTGTCTGTGTCTGTGTCTGTGTGAATGTGAGTGCGTGTGTGTGTGTGGATGTGTGTGTGTGTGTGGTCTGTGTCTGTGTCTGTGTGAATGTGAGTGCGTGTGTGTGTGTGTGGATGTGTGTGTGTCTGTGTCTGTGTCTGTGTGAATGTGAGTGCGTGTGTGTGTGTGTACGTGTGTGTGTGTCTGTGTCTGTGTCTGTGTGAATGTGACTGCGTGTGCGTGTGGTTGTGTGTGTGTGTGTCTGTGTCTGTGTCTGTGTGATGTGAGTGCGTGTTTGTGTGTGGATGTGTGTGTGTGTGTCTGTGTCTGTGTCTGTGTGAATGTGAGTGCGTGTGTGTGTGTGTGTGGATGTGTGTGTGTCTGTGTCCGTGTCTGTGGGAATGTGAGTGCGTGTGGGTGTGGATGTGTGCGTGTGTGTCTGTGTCTGTGTCTGTGTGAATGTGAGTGCGTGTGTGTGTGTGGATGTGTGTGTGTGTCTGTGTCTGTGTCTGTGTGAATGTGACTGCGTGTGCGTGTGGTTGTGTGTGTGTGTCTGTGTCTGTGTGAATGTGAGTGCGTGTGTGTGTGGATGTGTGTGTGTCTGTGTCTGTGTCTGTGTCTGTGTGAATGTGAGTGCGTGTGTGTAAGTGTGGATGTGTGTGTGTGTGTCTGTGTCTGTGTCTGTGTGAATGTGAGTGCGTGTGTGTGTGTGTGGATGTGTGCGTGTGTGTCTGTGTCTGTGTCTGTATCTGTGTGAATGCGAGTGCGTGTGTGTGTGTGGATGTGTGTGTGTGTCTGTGTCTGTGTCTGTGTGAATGTGACGTGCGTGTGCGTGTGGTTGTGTGTGTGTGTGTGTCTGTGTGAATGTGAGTGCGTGTGTGTGTGATGTGTGTGTGTCTGTGTGTCTGTGTCTGTGTGAATGTGAGTGCGTGTGTGTGTGTGGATGTGTGTGTGTGTGTCTGTGTCTGTGTCTGTGTGTGAGTGCGTGAGTGCGTGTGTGTCTGTGAATGTGAGTGTGTGTGTCGTGTGAGTGAATGTGAGTGCGTGTGTGTGTGTGCTGTGTCTGTGTCTGTGTGAATGTGAGTGCGTGTGTGTGTGGATGTGTGTGTGTGTCTGTGTCTGTGTCTGTGTGAATGTGAGTGCGTGTCTGTGAGTGTGGATGTGTGCGTGTGTGTGCGTGTCAGTGTCTGTGTCTGTGTGAATGTGAGTGCGTGTGTGTGTGTGCGTACGCGCGTGCGTGCGTACGTGCGTGCGTGCGTGCGTAGGTGCATGTGTGTGTGGATGTGTGCGTGTGTGTGTGTCTGTGTCTGTGTCTGTGTGAATGTGAGTGCGTGTGTGTGTGTGTGGATGTGTGTGTGCGTGTACGCGCGTGCGTGCGTGCGTGCGTGCGTGTGTGTATGTGCCTCACGGCGGTAAGGGCGGTGGGTGCGTGCAGGCCGTAGGACCGTAGGAGAAGACCGGGCCGCACCAGCGATGAAACCCGGCGAAACAAACACACACACAAACACAGCACACACACACACACTCACACGGTGTCGTAGGACCCCCCAAAAGCCCAAGGACAGCGAAAGCTACCCCAAAACCTCAAGCCTCGATCATCCTACACCTGTATCACACATCCGATGTATTCAATCCGCGGCCCCAGAGATTCCGAGTGTTTCCCCGGGAACTATTTCCGATTGCACGCAGTAGCGATGTCTCAGGGGGCCGCTGGGCCTGATCAGCGCGCAAGCCCGTGCTGCGGGGACCCTGTCGACCAACACCAAATGTCACTCCATCGACCGGCCATTCGATCCATTCCTTATAGCGCCAGGGCCGGAAGACAGCCCCACCGGGTGCCGAAATGAAGGGAACACCCCGCGGCCGAGAAACAAAAGCAATGCAAATCCTTCGGGCCACCGGCTCCCCGAGCGCGGCCACCATGCCCACCCACGAGGAAGACAGGAAGGTGAGGAGGGGGTAGGAAAGGATGTCAGCCATCCGCCGCTGACATGCGCGGAGAGATTTTTCGTCCCGGACCCATGTTTGATGTTCCCTGGTCCCAGACTGGCCCCAGGGGCGAATAACGAGAAATAGCGCTAGGACTGACAGAGTCAGATCGCTGGAAATATTGGGGGGCGGACGGAAGCTCGAGGGAAGGAGGGGGGAGGTAATCCGATGGCCTTCCTGAGGACACGAGGCAACGACGTCAAAGCAATGCCCCAGCATTGCTTTGAACACTTTCAAGCAGTTTCAAAGCAGTCCCCCGGCGCTGCTTCGAACGTTGTCAAAAGGAGGTGTCGCATGTGACATCGGATGATGGTGATGATGATGATGATGATGATGATGATGCTCATCATGATGGTGATGATGAGGATGACCAACAGCAACATGATGACGGTGGTCCGCAGCTGCGGCCATGCTGCACTTGCCCGCAACTGCGGTCATCACCAACGCTGAGACCCGAAGCTCCATGGGCCGCGGTCGGTCGACCGCCAAAAGGAGCCCGCCCCTTGCGCGGAGCCTCGCTCGATCGATCTCGCAATTAGCCCTTCCACGCGCGAGAACGCTCAGTCCACGCGCGCGCCACGAGCCACAACTACTGCGGCGCCATCCGGGTGCCAGCCCCGCTGGGACCAGTCCTGCCACCCCGTCCAGTGCCAGTCTCACTGGGGCCAGTCCTGCCATCCCGTCGCGGAACCGCGCGCCCCCCGTGCGCAGCCCCTGCTGGCGCCGCAGGACCGAACCACCACTGCGGCATGAGAAGTGATCGCATCGTCGCCGTTGGCAGCCTGCAGCTTCCGCGGGTTCCACGCTCGCTCAGCTCAAGAGTCTCTCTCCGCGACTGCGGTCGGTTCCCGTCTGGGTCTGGGCGCCCATCCCCGCGACCGCAACGTCCGCGTCGCCGCCTTCATTGCCGCCCTTCTGCGCCTGCTTCCCCAACCTCTGCGCGAGTTTTTGTTTCAGGCGGCCTACGGCCCGCGTTGCGCGCGAACGCAGCCGAGGGGAAGCGCGCCCCGCGTCGCGCCTTGCCGACGGCGCCGTGCCAGATCTTCTCGTCGAGTTTGCCCTGCCCGACTCTGCAAGGGCGGCGCGCACGCTCCTCGTCGGGCGCCCTGCGCGCCATCCGTCGCGCGAGGTCCGCAACCGCGGTCAAGGAGGCGCCAGGCAGCACGGTGGACTGTGAGTCCTCGAGCGCCGCGCACCCCCAGAGCTCCTGGAGGGCCCCCGAGGGCGCGACAGAAGGAGGTGGGCCCATCGCCGCGGCGGCAGCATACACGCGACGCTGCACAGCCGTCTGCGGAGCCCCACTGCGACAGGACCCGCCAGCAGATGACCCCTGCTCGCAGCCCGCCAACGAGTTGAGGGTAGAGATCGCGAGGTCGGACAAGCCAGTGACTGCATGCCGCCGCACAACCCGCCGTCGAACTCGGCGGCAAGGAGGCGATATCTGAGATGGCGGCGCAGCGTCTTCCCCGCGCAGCTGAGGGACAGGGAAAACATCTCGCTGGCGAATACCCTCTGGACGCGGCAGCCGACTTTGCGACTTTCATTCAGCAGGGGGCGCAAGACCAGGAGGAGCGTGAAAAAAAACCTTCTCCTGGGCAGGAGGGTCGGCTGGCTCTGAGACCTCCTCCCCGGGGCCTCCCACCCCGGCTTGTCTTTCTGCCTGCGGCGCAGCTCGGGTTCCTCCGTCGCCTTCCTGATGCTCTTCATGACGACTGCGTCCTTGTCCACCTGCGCCTTCACGTGCTCGAACAAGGACGGTGCCACCATCAAGAGATCTCCAGCTCGACTGAGCCCACAGAAAACGGTGGCCTCCTCGATCGAGAGACGGGAACTCAAACCAGCGTCCGTCTCTCTGACCTTGTCGTGGTACGCCCACTCGATGGTCTGCGCGCGCCTCGCCGCGGCCTCCGTGCACGCCAGGTTGCCGATGTCGAGCTGGTCGTACTGGTCCGCTAGCTCGATGATGCGGAGCAGGCGCTGCGGAACATCAGATTGTGATCTAGCGGCGTGCGCCGCCGGCGAAAGAACGGCAAACGCCAACTCGTGTTCCTTGGCCCGCTCGCGGGGAAATCCTCGAACTCCTCCTGCACACAAATGTCAACAACATCCTTCCAGTGTCGCGCGCGCCCGCCAGGGCCGTACTCCACGGAAAGAGTGCGGACATCAGGCTGGGATTTCGGGATCTCAGCTCTATCACGCGGGGCAATCCTAGCTATGAAGTCCAGCGGCCCCTCGTCGCTGAACTCCACAAACACCCCGCCCTTGCCGTTCGGAGCATAGACACCCTTGACGCCCACAGACACGGCCACAGGCTTCACCACGAGGCCGAGGTCAAGGCCTGAGGCGTTGTTGACCTCCGCCACCCTCCAGACCCCAGCAGGCGGCGTCTTGGTCCCACCAACAATAGTCCCGTCAGCGCCTCCCGAGGGTGCACCAGCGCCCCCAGCAGCGCCGAGCCGAACGCTCGGCTGCACGAAAGCCACTCCAAGGAGGGCCTCGGCTGCGACGCGCTGGCCTCGGATGCGGCATGCGATGGGGCAATCGGCGGGGGTCGCTCCGTCGGCCTGGGCGGTCTTCGCGGCCAAAGTGGCCGCGCGAGCGATCAACTTTGCGAGGAAGTCGTCGTCCAACTCGCCCGCGGGGAACGAGTAGACGGCGTCGGCAAATCCGTGCGGCAGTCGACCATCAGCAGCTGGGCGGATCCACTCCACAGGGTTATCGTCGAGGTGCCCGCCTTGGACGCTCTCGGCGCACTGGTTTCCGTCGGGCGTCGCGACCACCCAGCCCACCACCCCTGTTGACTGGGGAGGCAGTGGCCAGCACAAGACGCGCTCATGCCAGAGCGCGCCCCCCGCGCAACGGACTAGGATCACGTCGCCCGGCACCAGGCCGGACAATGACACCGCGGCCAGCATGCCGAGGACGGCGCCCGCAGACCCGGCCCACGCACAACGAGCAGATGGCCCCGCTGCACCCGGAGAACGCCGCCAGCAGCGCGGGCGCTCGGCACGCCCGCGCTCTCGCGGGCCAGCGAGGGGCACGGCGGGGCCGCCTCGCACGCCAGCGCCTCGCAAGGCGGGCACGGGGGGGACGAGCAGGTCACCTGCGGGCAGCTCAGCGGCTGCGGCGAAGGGCAAGTGAGCGTCACCCGCGGGCAATTTAGGGTCGGCGCAGGACACGCCGGCGGGGGCGGGCAGGCCGCGGGCGGCGGGCAGGCTTGAGCATTAATAGCCACATACGGTGAACGGCCATTAGCCAGGGTGCATATACGAACTCATGTGGAACACTGCAATAAATGTACACATTTACATATACATATATACATACGCCTATACATATCTATGATTATATCACGTCTTCTGAAAAAAGGCTGGGTCGTCGTCGTCGTCGCCGTCGTCGTCGCCGCCGTCGCAGTCGTCGTCGTCGTCGTCGTCGCCGCCGCCGCCGTCGCCGTCGTCGTTGCGTCGTCGCTGAGACGGGGGTAGGGAGGAAGGAGAGGGGGTGCAGATCAACAAGCAAGAACGAGGCAGGAAAGGGCACAGGATGGGAGGATGAGGACGAGGAGGAGGAGGTGGAGGATTTCCTGATGTAGGGAGCGGGAGGAGGTGGCGGCGGCGCGGCCACGATGACGTCGAAAAGGCACGCCGACGGCGATCCTGCTATTGCCCTGCCCCCTTCTGGCCAGACTTCCGCATCGTTCAAAGCAGTGCCGGGGAACAGCTTTGAACGATGCGCATTGTTCAAAACAGTGCCCCGGCACTGTGTTTAACGTGTCCTTTATAAGGGCCATAGGATTAGAAGGCTTGGGCAACCCCGACCCTGGAACCGCCGCAACATGGGCAATTTCAAATTCAATTCGGAAATGTGCAACTCCCTTGTTTGACCTCTATGACATAGGCTTCCGACTTAAAGTGAGGTAGGGCCCCGACTCAGGATTCCACCAGGCCGTAGATTTTTCAACAACGCCGCTGAACATTCGACCGCTTCGTGGACAAGTTCACAGCTTGAGTCGAAAACGACGGCGGCATCATACATGTCCGACTTGCCTGTTCGGATGGTATGGGATGCGCGCCCTACCGTCGAGAACGTTTGCTTAGCGTGTCGCGGCGGCGGCCCTGGCGATGAGCTATGACCAGCAAGCGAATAGCGTGTGGCTCCGCTCCGCGGGGCGGGAGGCTGGGATAGATACGCTCGGGACGCTGGCGCTTGGGACGTGGACAGCGTTCCGCGCCGAAGCGTGGTGGGCTAGAACCAGCGGCGCGGCACGCCAAACCAGAGTCCCTGACCGTGTACGTTTTCGTTGTGGACGAGCATCCAGGCCGGGGTGGATCCTGAGTGAAGGCAGGTCTTGGCGCCCCCCCCCCGTCGAGCCGCAAGTTGATGTCGTCGAGGTCCTGCGCTTCGGCCCTGAGACTACATACCAAACCACCCCACCCCAACCCGAAATTACCGCTGGGCTCGATGCTCTCCGGTGAGGGTGCACTCCAGGATACTCCAGGACGTCGAGGAAACACGATGGAACCCGTAACGTAAGACGACGAGTAATCCGCCACCGTGCCTCTGTGCACGGAGTGGGCGTGTCCTCAGGCTCTTTGCATCATCCTCTGAGCCTCAGTCCTCAGTCCTGAAGAGTGTCCTAGGAGCCCAGACCCCAAGTTCTCGAATTCACCGGGGACTGCCGCGTGCCCTCTGGGCTCCCCCGCGGCTTGTCGCAGGTCTTTTTTCAAGCCCAAGACGATCCCAATGCGGGGCCAAGAGGGCTCCAGGAGGCCGTCAAGACGGTCCCGATACGCCCAGAGATGGCCCCAAGACGGCCCAAGAGGCCTCCAAGACGGCCCCAAGAGGCCCCCCAAGAAGGCCCCAAGTGGCAAACATCATTCATTTTCCGATGGTTGTTGAAAGATGCTAGCGTTCTCGCTTTTTCGGCTTTCCGACGCTCCAAGACGGCCCAAGAGGCCCCAAAGACCACCCCAAAACGGCCCAAGAGGCCTCCAAGCGGGCCCCAAGACGGCCTCCAGAAGGCACAGAGAGGCCAAAGTCACTAATGCTCCTTCGGTTTTTGTTCGAAATCTATTAGCATTCGTTTCTTTTCGGCCTTCCGATGGCCCGAGACGGCCCAAGAGGCCCCAAAGATCGCCCCAGATCGCCCAAGAGGCTTTCAAGATGGCCCCAGAACGGCCCAAGAGGCCTCCAAGACGGCCCCAAGAGGGCCCCAACACGGCCCAAGAGGCCTCCAAGACGCCCAAGATGGCCTCCAAGACGGCCCTGGAGCACCCCAAGAGGGCTCCAAGTCGGCCCAGAGCGGCCCCCAAAACGGCTTCCGACGGCGTCAGAGGAAGACGGGCAAAGATGTCCCCGATAAGCCCTCAAAGGCCCCCTAGCGGCCCAGGGAGGCCCCCAAGATGCCTCTAAGAGGCTCCCAGGAAGGTCCCAGGAGGCCCCTAGAGTGGTCCCAGAGGCTCTCAAAATGCCTCCTCCTCCTCCTCCTTCTCCTCCTCCTCCATTACTCTTCCTGATAGATAGATAACTCCTCCCTGTCGCACCTTCTTCACCGTGTATGAGCCTGAAGCTTGAAAACCGGCGACAGCTTCACAGATGGAGGGCGGGTGGTTTTCAACATGTGGCTCTCGCCTTAGCGTCGCGCATACTCGTTGTTTGCACAAAGAACAACAACAAATGGCTGGAGCATCACGTCTCGAGGGCGGGCCGTTTTCAAAATGTGGCCCTCACCTTGGCGCCGCGCACATTCGATTCAAAAAGTTGTAAGAGTTTCACTTTTTCTCATGGTGAACAAACATACCAGAAGTTGTGTATGGAGCGATTCAAGATTGTCGGGGCGCAACACTTACGTTGATTCGCGGTTTTGGAAACCCAGGAATGGTGCTCTGACAAGATTCAGGATCGTCAGGACGTAAGACTTAGGTTAACTCGTGGCGTTGAAGTCCTGAGACTGGTCTTCTGGCACGCTCCAGGATTTTCCAACGGCTGTCTCCCAACTGAGTACTTCCCTCAGTGGCAATGAATATATGTAGGGGCCTATGAAGAGGGAGCTTGGAGGAAGGGTGTATTCCAACATCGTTGATGAATCTTGGGTTTGCACTGGTCCTCCTCCTCCTGCTCCCCCTGCTCCCCGTGCTCCTCCTCCTCCTCCTGAACTTCCCCGCCATCCTCCCCCAAGTGCTCCCCGAATGGTTTCCACAACGACTTGGGGAACACATGATCCGATAGCTTGGCAGAGCTCTTGCCACAACGCTCGGCCACATGGGCGACTCCAAAAGACAGGGGGCGGCGGTGATTCGCCGTAGGCGTCTTCGATCCGCCGCCCCATGTGATCTTGCCACAGGGGTGCCTGACGTGCCAGACTTCAGGAGATTTGTGGTTCCTTTTGAACTCCTCCTGGGGCTTCGGCCGAGGCCGCCGGCCACGCGAAAGGCTGCGTTCGAGGTGGTTGCAAAAGGTTTCCCTGCTCAAGATGGCCCCCAGATGGCCCAAGATTGGCCCAAGATACCCTGCAAGACGGCCAAGATGGCCCGCAAGTTTGCCCAAGATGGTCCACGATGGCCTCCTAGACGGCCCAAGAGTGTCCGAGATGCCTCCAAGTCCGCCCAAGAAGCCTCCAAGACGGCCCAAGACGGCCTCGGAAGCCTCCAAGAGGCCTCCAAGAGGTCCTCCAGGAGGGCCCGCAGAAGCCAAAATCATTGAATTTCCAGGAAGGTGTTTGAAGGAATTTGGCATTTGCATCTTTTCGACCTTCTGACGGCCCAAGACGGCCCAAGAGGTCCTCAAGATCGCCCCAAGGTGGCCCCAAAAGCCTCAAAGATGGCCCCAGGACGGCCCAAGAGGCCTCCAGGACGGCCCCAAGAGGGCCCCAACACGGCCCAAGAGGCCTCCAAGACGCCCAAGATGGCCTCCAATATAGTATGGTCATGAAGCGCCTCAAGAGGGCCCCAAGTCGCTTCAGAGATGCATGCAAAACGGCTTCCGACGGCGTCAGACGGGCCAGGAACGCCCGAAGACGGCCAAAGCGGCCCCGAACAGGCCCCCAAAGGCTCCCAAGAGGCCCAAGGAGACCCCCAAGAGGCCTCCAAGAATCTCCCACCAGACCCCAAGAGTGCCCCAGGAGGCTTCCAAGAGGCGTCCTCCTCCTTATTCTCCTCCTCGTCGTCCTCCTCATCCTACTCCCTTTTCCTTCTTCTCCTCATTCTCATCTTCTTCACGTGTTCCCCGAAAGGTTTCAACGACAGCTTGGGGAACACATGGTCCGATAACTCTAGCCCAATTTTCGGCCACATAGGCGCTTCCAGGAATGCAGGGGGCGGCGATGATTCGCCGTAGGCGTCTTCGATAAAATAATGTGGGGGAAACCATAAACGAAATATTCGTCAGAATCTTCGGCTCCCGCTTCGCTTCGGTTCTGTCTGGTCCGTCGATTGTCCAGGCGCGCGTCCGACGAGGGCGGGAGGGAACGATCGAGAAGTAGATTCCTGGCTGGGGGGGGCGTTTCTCTAACCATCATCCTGGGCGCCGCCGCGTGAACACGACCCCTGGCAACTTCTTAAACCATCATCCTGCATTGTGCCCCCGACCCTAAATCTGGGGTGGTCTATGATGGGTGCGTTTTCCACCACCACCACCATAGGTTGGAGGGGGAGGGGGTCCTCCTCCTCCTGCTCCTCCTCTTCGTCCTCCTCCTCCTCCTCGTCCTCCTCCTCCCCCCCCTCTAACTTATGGTGGTGGAAACGTTAAGAATAATCGAGACTCTGGCCGAAAACTTAGGTTTTCTTAAGCATCGCCTAAGGTGTAGGGCCTTCGGGCTGGACGGGGGTGGCTTGGTAAGCGGTGCTCCTCGGCTCGTCCGCCGCCAGGCCGGCGTCGACTCGCTCGGCGAGCTCCGCGAGCAGGCGCTCGGTGCGGCCGTCCCGGTCCGCGAGGCAGCGGAGGAGGGAACTCTCGAGATCCTGCGCGCGCGGCGGGGGCCTGTAGCCCCATCCCCCCACGGGGAACTGTCGTCCCGATCTCATTTCGTCCGCTTCGCTTTGTCCTGCTCGACTCGTCCGCTTCGAAAGGCGGAGAAAACGAAAGAGGACGACGAAAGAGGAGGAAACGAAAGAGCCACCGTGCATATTTACATATTTGGGCCCCAGGGGTCCGAGTATATCCATGTCCAACGGCTCACGAAGTCAAGGAAGACTGGTCCCCCAGGCGGTAGATATGGATCAATCCCTGCGTTCGAGGCGTTTCCAAGGAGGTTCTCTTGTTGGCTCCTGGATTTCTTCTCGCCACGGGACGCTTTTCAGAAGCTCCGCCTCCCCAGAAGCAGTCCTGGAGGTTTTCATTGTCTCTGGAAGGCTTCTCGCCACGGGATGCTTTCCAGCAGCTGCGCCTCACCGTGGGCGTTCGATCTGGAGGTGTCAAGATCGCCCCGAACGGCAATTCGAAGGCCCGGGCGATGGCCCAGAAACTTAAATCTCTGACAACATGATATCTTCAATCTGGGAACTTCTCCAGGTCCATGTCGTGGTGCTTCTTCCATGTGTTGTAGGTAGCCTCACTGTTGATCCACGACTTGGGACCAATCGCTTTGCAATTCGGCTATAAGATAGCAGCCAGAAAGTGGCAAATGGATCGCCCAAATTCGCGAAAATCGTGACCCTCTCCCCCCGCATAGCTCCAAGATGCCTTGGTATTCGGTTTTTCCGTAACAAGGGACGACATGATCTTAAGGCTGCCGCCTCTGCCGCCGACCCTATTTTTTATTTCGGGCTTTCCGGATCTCTGGGGCCGTCGTGCTGGCGTCGTGGGGCATCCTGCGCGTAGATTCCTTGCAGAAGCACAGAGAATTGCTAGATGTCTGCCTTCGAAGCTCTCGAGTTTCTCGCGGGCCGTTTTGGTGGCCTTGGGTTGTCGTCAGGCGCGTTCGGGTGTCTGGGTTCGATCTGGGAATTGGTCTGGACTCATGTGAATCCCACCAGCCCTTTGGGCGTGAGTGGTTTAGAGAGCCCGCTCTGTCCTCAACCCCCCTTCTTCCCCTTCGGGGAGGCCTGGAGAGGGACCCCGGGGCGTCGCCAGGGGGGTCTTTTTCGACTCCTGGGAGGGTCAAAAAACGACGACCCTCACGAGGATTCTGGCCCCGAGGGGGGGAGGGAGTTTGGCCCCTCTGCTCGTCTTTGAAGCCAAAATCATTGATTTTACTACGGTTTTGGCCCCATTTTGGCCTCCTGAGGGGGCCGCGCTCATCTTCCTTCATAGCAAAACCATTGATTTTACGAAGGTTTTGGGCTCATTTTGTCCTTCTCAGGGGGCAGCGCTCATTTGCGCTTCTGAGGAGGTCGCAAGAGGCCCCAAGATGGCCCCAAGAGGCCCCCAGGAGGCTCCCAAGAGGCATCCAAGAGGCCCCCAAGACGCCCCAAGAGGCCCCCAAGAGGCCCCCAAGAGGCCCCCAAGAGGGCCCCAAGAGGCCCCAAGAGGCCCCCAAGAGGCCCCCAAGGCCCCCAAGAGGCCCCCAAGAGGCCCCAAGAGGCTCCAAGAGGCCCCCAAGAGGCCCCACGAGGAGCCCGAACGACTCACACCAGGACGAGGGGCCCGAACGACTCACACCACGAAGAGCCCGAACGACTCACACCACAAGGAGGGGCCCGAACGACTCACACCAGGACGAGGCGCCCGAACGACTCACACCACGAGGAGCCCGAACGACTCACACCACGACGCGGGCCCCGAACGACTCACACCACGAGGAGCCCGAACGAGTCACACCAGGAGGAGGGGCCCGAACGACTCACACCAGGACGAGGGGCCCGAACAACTCACACCACGAGAAGCCCGAACGACTCACACCAGGACGAAGAGCCCGAACGACTCACACCACGAAGAGCCCGAACGACTCACACCAGGAAGAAGGGCCCGAACGACTCACACCAGGACGAGAAACCCCAAACGACTCAAATCACGAGGAGCGCTTTCTCTCCCTCCTCCTCCGCCTCGTCCTTCTCCCGCTCCCCCCACAAGGAGGATGTACAAGGAGGCGGGAGGAAGGAGGAACAGGGGAGATATGCGGGGCCAAGCGGACACACGCCTGAAAAACACGACTGTCGGCATGCTTCGCAAGAGTTGCTGCTGTGAGATGGGCTGGTGGGGATACGCGAAGCGTAAAGAATTTCTGGAGGTGCTCTTGCAGTGTGCATCGTCTGCGCGCCGCGACGGGGGTTTCAGGTCCATCGGCGCGTGGTGGCTATCCCGAGAGGGACAACAAGTGCCTCCCCGTTGATCGAGGGGGGAGATGGGCGCGCGGCGTCGGAAGGGGGCACCGATTTCTCGGTTGGGCCATTTCCGCTCACGCCCCCCAACCTTCGATCTGTTGCGTTCGGTCCATCCCGTCATCGTGCTCGGTTCGTAGGTCTGAGGCCACCCTGATGGGCGATGGGGTCTCGTGGGATGTTTTTCTGGAGGCAGTGTTCCTTGTGGGGGCTCAAGCTTGGGGCTAAAGGCTGAAATTCCTTGTGGGGCTTCCGCTCCGGGGCTCTTCTTGTGGTCCTCTTGGCCTGTCAGAAAAATCCTCTTGCGTACAGGGCATATTTGGGGGGAGACGCATCTCACCCGCCGATGACATGTGAAGGGGTCGGCGTATTTTTCGCCGCATGCGTTTCCTGTAGGTCGCCCGCGGGGGCGCGAAGGCAATCGCGCTTCGCGCGTCGCGGTTTAGGGTGGAGAGCTACTTGGCCTCACCGGGCGGTGCGCTGCCGCGAAGATAACCGCGCATCGCGGGGCGCGGGGCGCGACGTGGCGCGACCTGGTGAGCCTTGCCAGGAGCGCTCTCGGAGGTCCCCCCCCTTCCGTCTTCCCATCGCTCGTCCTCGCCCTCATTTCTCCTCCCCGTCCTTCGAGTCCTCCTCCTCCTTGTTCTTCTGCCCCTCCTCGTACTTCCTCGTCCCTCCTCCCTCCTCCTCGTCCTCCTCCCTCCTCGTCCTCCTTCCCTCCACCGCTGCCCCTCCCCGCGCCCCGGTTCGGGCGGCAGGCGCCCTGTCCAGCGCCCCGCGCCCGCGTAAGTCCAGGCCGACATCTCCCGCCCTCCCGCGAGCCATGCAGGAGCTACCCGCGGCCCCGTCGTCCATCCTGAGGCACGCGAGCCTCTTCCCCATCATCGTCCTCGTCCTCCTCAGGAGGAGGAGGGGGAAGCAGCAGGTCCGGGAGATGATGGGAGCTGATCCCAGAACTTCGACGTCGTGACTTGTTCACTGTCGATCCTTTTTGTTGTTGCTGTTGCTCTGAACCCACTTCGCACGGATCTTCGGACTCCAAGTCCTCGAACGGATCGTGGATCGCACACAGCGCGCCACATGGCAACGGCGAGCCAGAGCGGCCAACCTCTGGATTTTGCGCTCGAGCGCCAGGCAAAACATGCGACGACGAACCTGGGTGGCCGTCTCCAGGGCTTCGCGTCCTGACTTGGCGCCCTCCGCAATTTACTCAGTCTGCCTGCCTGATATTCAGGGCGACGCTGCTCCTCGATGTTCATGATGCGCGCGCATGGCTGATTCTCGCCCACGCTGGCGGCGCGATCTCGCCTTTCCCGATCAGATGGGACGGGGTGGCCCCTGGGCAATTCCATGAACGGGGGCGCCCCCAACCGTCTGATCCAGCACTCGCCGATGAAATCGCTGGGGCGGAGGAGCACCGCCATCCCGCGGCTCTCTCTCTCTCTCTCTGCCACCCCCTCCAGCCCATTCCACGCTGCGGGCGCCCGCGCGGCGGTCCTGGGGCACCGTGAGAAAACCCGGCTCGCCGCGGGTTCCTTCTGCGACGCCGCCTCGGCCTTCGCTGGGGAGGCAGGTGAGGAGCCGAACTCATACAGTCGGAGCGTTGACCCAAGGAACCCTAAATAAGGAACGAGGCCCCTTTCATCCACAAGTTGAACTTCGATTTCCCATCGAAAACCAAAGGAAAACCAAAGACAAACTGTGAAGCAATCAAGGAACACGGAGCCCCTCCCCAACGAAAAGGGTTCCTTCTTCAGGGCCCCGACTGTAACCGATGTCGCCTCTGTCAGCAATCCAGAGGCATCTCGGAGAACAGGCCGCCCGCGGAAGGGCAACTCCACCGCCGGCCAGCCACGGGGGCGATGGCCGCGCCCGTCGCGATCTCCCCCGAACGGAAGACTGGGCTCGACATTGCCGCGCGTCGCGCGCTGCCTCCTCCCGACCGCGCCGCCCCCGACTGGAACTCTGGCCCTGGATCCAGAAGATCCTGAGAATAGCTTTCCCCGAACGGGTTCACGCGGGAAGAGCTGGCAGCCTCCGAACGGCCAGGGTGAAACTCCAACGGCGCCGGCCCCGCAGACGTCGAGACCTCTCCCCTGGTAGCGAGCAAAGGCTCGGCGCATCCGCAGCTGGTCTGCCGACGCCATCCCCTCCAGCATTGGCGCGCGCGGCTGCGCGAAGCCCTTCAGTTCCACAAGGGGCTCATCAGGAACAGGAATGGCTCCAACAGCGGACAAGGAGCCCGACCAGCCCGAAGAAGGACGATTGCCCCCAACTTCCACGGCTTCTCCTGATGGGCCTCGGCGACGCTTCGAATGCAGCCTGGCGCGCAGTTTCCTGGTCTCCTCGCGCAGCTTGGGAGTCTGCTCAGCAGCTGGCCCCGACGTTTTTTACACCCCCTGCTGCGTACTCGAAGTCAACTCCGACTTGACGCGTTCCCACGCGGCCGTGTCCGTCGTGCCCACCTCGAGGCCGCCACTATCTAAGAGCGGGCCGTCGATGATCGCGAGCGACCCCTCGTCAACGAGCGTCGACAAGTTGCTTCCCGAAGAAGGAACGGGCGCAGCCGACGCTGGGGCCTCGAGGGGCGGTGCCGAATTCTGCTCAACGCACGCTTGTTCCCAAGCCTGCTGGGCAGCGAACGCCGAAGCGACGGCCTCGTGCTCCAATTGCTTGGCATCCGCCAACCACTGATCCCCAGCGAGGACGCGCTTGGCGTGCGCGTCGAGCCAACCCTTGCGCCCTGCGGAAGGCAACGCCCTTGGCGTACACCTCCTCCCCCAGAAATGGAATACGTTGCTCGATCGGGGGCGCAGCCTCCTGCTTGGCTTGCAGCTTCTCCGCGATGGCCCCCCGGCTCCTTCGATTCGCCCAGCACGTTCCTGAGCTCTTCCAAAGGGATCGACGGAGATTCTCCGTGTGGCCACCGAAGCATTGGGCAGGAGGCTGCGGTGCCCCTCCCCAAGGTCGCCAACCTTGGTTGCGCCACGCCCAGGGCTTGCGCGAAAAGCTTGAGCCTTTGGGCGAAGACGGCGGCAGCGAAGCTCGAGGGAGAGGAAGCCCTTCTGGTTGACCACCACCTTCGGGAACAGCACATGCCACAGAGCCTCAGCAGGGGTGGGGCAGTCACCGATCGCGGGGAACCTTGCGACAAATTTCCCACAGGCCTCTTGTCGTCACTCGGGTTGCCGATGAGAGGCCCCGAACACTGGTGACACGAATGGCTGTTCTTGAAGTTCCAGCGGAAGCGACACTGCGGGCAATTGATGTACTGCTGGGCCGATTTGCCCAAACCTTGTCCACCCGTGCCTCCATGCCTGCCGCCGCCCATGAACGAGACTGCTCCGACATGAGCTCACAGAGATGATCTGCTCACCCGCGTGAGCGAGATACAGTAACACCTGCAGCGCGCCACGCGCTGAAAAACTGCGGAGACTGGCGGCGGACTGGCGGCATCCACGCTGTTCGCGGAGAACCTCAAAACCTCGAGTCAAAATGGCTACGGAGGGGCAAACGGGGGTGCGGAAGAGTCGCAGGGACGCAGCCAGCCTCCTGGCTATGCCCCGTGAGCCCCCAGAGGGCTCCTGGAGAGCGGCCGCCATGTCCGCCCGGCTCACCTGGCCCGGGCCGGCGGAGGTCGAGCGCCGCCTCTCGGCGATGCGGCTCATCTCGGGGGGGGTGGCGCCGAGCTTGCCCAGCTCGAGCTGGCTCATCTGAGGCGGGGTGCGGGGGTGCAGGATCGAGGGCGAAAGGACCGAGGACCGATGCCCTTCCTCCCTCGTTCCCCTGCCTCCTCTCCCCTGAGCAGCGTTGAATACATCCCCGTCCCCGTGGGCGTGGCCTGGGCCCCACTGGCCGATCTTTCCCCGCAAGATGAGACATAGGCTGACAGGGGTAGATTCCTAACTGGGCTGGTGGGATTGTGGGGATGGGGGTCGGGATACGGATCGGCCAAGCGACACTGATCCCTCCTCCTCCTCCTCCTCCTCCTCCTCCTCCTCCCCCTCCCCCTCCCCCTCCCCCTCCCCCTCCACAATTACACAATATGAAAATCCGCCGACCCTGTCGGCGTGTGGAAGACGCATCCCGGTGTCGTCGTCTTGCGTGGATCACCGTCGTCGTCGTCGTCGCCGTCGTCGTCTCCGTCGTGTCCTCGTCGTCTCCGTCTCCGTTGTCCCTCGTCGTCTTCGTCGTTCCCCGTCTCCTTGAGCGCGCGAGCCAAAGCGACATTGAGCAACGTCGTAGTTGAGTCGTGGCGAAGCCCCTCCCTACCCTCCCCGCCGGGGGGGGGGGGGTGGGGGGGGGGGGTCGCCGGGGGGGGTCCCCGGGGGGGGTCGCCACCCAGATACGCATCCTCCCCGGGGGGTCCCGGAGCTCAGAAAAGCTTCAAGACGAGCCAAGAGCGACAGAAGACACCCCCAAAAGGGTACAAGAGGGCCTCGACTCGACGAACGATGGCCCCAAGACGCCCAAGACGGCCCGAAGACGGCCCAAGAGGCCCTCAAGACGCTCCAAGAGAGCCCCAAGAGCACACCCAAGAGGGCCCCAGGCGCCAAAATCGTCAATTTTACATCGGTTTTTGAATGATTTTGGCCTTCTCGCCTTTTCGGCTTTCCGACACTCCAAGACGGCCCAAGAGGCCCCCAAGAGGCCCCCAAGAGCGCCCCAAGAGGCCTACAAGAGGGCCCCAAGACGGCCCAAGAAGGCCCCAGGACAGCCTAAGAGGCGCCCAAGACGGCCCAATAGGGCCCCAAAACGGGCCCAAGAAACGGCCAAGAGGGGGACGAGGAACCGAGAATTCAAGACTTCCGCCCTAAGAGGCCCCCGGGAAGCCCCAAGAGGCCCCCAAAAGGCCCCAAGAGGCCCCCGAGCGGCGCCAAGACGCCCCCAAGATGCGCCGAAGACGGCCTCCGGAAGCCCCAAGAGGCCCAAAAGAGGCCCCAAGAGGCTCCACAACGGCCCCCAAGAGGCTTCAAGTTGCCTTCCAGACGCCCCCGAGAGGTCAACCACGAGATCCCAACCAACATCCATAAGGCCTCCTCCTCCTCCCCCTTCACCCTTCCTCCTCCTATTCCCTTCCGCCTCCTCCTCC